TGTCTATTCAGGCTGCTATGCTTAGACACAGAGCAAGATGTTTGTAGATATAAGGAAGGTAAAGGTATTGCAGTAAAACAGCTGGGTCCAAGCTGTGCGACAGTCTGGAATAACAGGAATTGGCGAACTTCAGCAATCCCACATTGAGCTAAGGGGTCAGCAACTCAACAGGGGAAACAGAGATCATGGTTTATAGTGAAGCGAGTGACAATAAATCCCAATATGAGATTAGCCTCTTTAAAAAAAAAAAGAAATTTGTTAAAATTGTGCACACAGCCTTTCTCTGTCAAACAGCAGGTTTTATAACTAGTGATGCACCAATACTTTGGACCAGATACCACGTACTTTTATCTGTAGATACAAGCATCATTTTCTGTCCAACGGCCAGTATTGGTTGGTAGAACAAACCCTAAAGTCCATTGAGAGCAGCTAAGAACTTTAAGAATAAGAAGGCAGAAGAAAAAAAAAAAGACAATTAAGGCCGAAGAATATGAAAGACAGAGGTAGAAGAAAAACGTGAAGTACAGAGGCGAATTAAGCAGCGTGAACGAAGAAGCAGCTGCTTATTTACTGGAGACCCAGTTAGCTTAGCATCCAGGCTGGTCTAAGCAGAGCTCTGCTGCTCTGAAAACTTTGGAGGCAGAATTTAAAGCAGGAACATTCTTTATGAAGAGAGCATAACTTCAACAAAATTGTCAAGGGGAACTTAACAGCAACTACATTCTAACATGCATCTGGTTCAAGATAAAAATCCATCTTCTAATCTGCATATCAGAGAATATGATCAAAAATCTTCTCATAACTAAGCCTTTTGAAGTGTTTGGGTTAATACCTCATATTGGCAACTTAAAAATTCATGATGGATTTCAACAGAAGAGGTTCTGAAGGCTACTTTATAGTTATAATAAATGAAAGATCATAACAAATGAGTTTATTATATAAATATATCTAACGAAACTGTGGACTCCCAAAGCATGACATCTTCTGCAAGAACCAAGATACCGTATTTTCACGACCATAAGGCGCACCGGACTAAAAGGCGCACTCTCAGTTATGTGTCCCATTTCTGTATTTAACACACACATAAGGCGCACCGGACTATAGGGCGCGTTTTTTATATAAAGGTACATGTCCTCTACTACCTTTAAATACCTCTACTGCGTATTTAAAAATACAGCGGGGGCAAAACTGAGTATGACTGTGCTTTATTCATGTATTTATTACAAAGTATTAATCAAACCTGGCAGCTGGCCGTGAGACAGACACATCGCAGATGACACAGCGCTGTGATCACTCCTAAATTAACTTAAAATCCTGAAACCTGCTGACGGAATATGTTCGCTTTTATTGCCGGTATCCTGGTGCCTGCAGTTTAAATTATTTAGATGAAAAACACCTGCCAGCAGCCGCGGTGAACCCCAGGCTGCCCAGCCTAGAGGCTGCTGATGAAGAGATTTCTGCTGTCAGCGCACCGCTGGTATGTGGGGGTCTGAGCGCCTCCGACAGAAATAGATAATCTGGATGAACTGACTGCAATTATTAAGTTTTCAGGTGGACTTTCTCACTTAAAAACATATTAAAACTACTTTATTCCCACTGATCACAGCAAATATAGCTGCAAGATTTAGATTATTTAGATGAAAAAACACCTGCCAGCCACCGCGATGAAGAGGAGGAGACGCGCCGGGGCTGCTGTTGAATTAAGTTTTCAGGGAGAAAAATACAGCGGGAGCAAAACTGAGTATGATTGTGCTTTATTCATGTATTTATTACAAAGTATTAATCAAACCCATCAAAGTCATCATCCTCTGTTTCTGAATAAAACAGCTGCGCTAAATCAGACATGCCAGTTTCCCCTTCTTCGCTGTCAGAGTCACTTTCCGTGCAGCGCAGCTCCTCAGAAATAATGCCGGCTTTTGCGAAAGCTTGAACAACAGAGCCAGCAGACACTTTAGTCCAAGCATCTACAATCCATCCGCAAACGGTGGCGTAACTTGCCCGGCGCTGCCTTCTTATCCTGAAACTGTGGTCTCCGTCGGTCATCCATCGCTCCCACGCCGCTCGCAGCCTTACTGTGAACGGCCGCTTCAAACCGATGTCGAGCGGTGGAAGCTCCTTTGTCAGACCCCCGGGATAACGGCGAGCACAGCGTTCATTTGATTCATCTTTTTTTCACATCGGCTGTGAGATGGGCACGCAGCGATGGTGATGCGTGGAAAAAACCACCTAGTCTTCTCAGATACACCTGCCTTTCATCATCTCCTCATCGATCCAGCCTTTTCATTTGCGTTAATATCATATGTCATCAGAGCGCTGTACTGTCTCGCTGTCAGCTCCCAGATCAGCTTCTCTGATTGGTTGATGCGGCGCGTCCAGCAGCAAAACTTCAATTTTTCCATGTCGAGCAGCAGCAGCGCGTTGGCGGTGCGTCAGATGCTTAAACGCTCCCGACATGCTGCACCAAAACGCGCTGCAGGACCTTTTGCTGCACCTATACGCGCGTCAACCATTGACTTTGCATGTAAACTCGCTGCTTCTGCTGCACCTGCTGGGTCCGGTTCACACCGATGTCGAGCGGTTGAACAGCGAGCACAGCGTTAATTTGTTTCCCCATGTTTTTCACATCAGCTGTGAGATGGGAACGCATGGAGTTACATATTAACAGCGATGGTGAGGGGTGGAAAAAAAACACCTGGTCTCCTTACATTCAGCCACTCTTTCATCATCTCCTCAATGAGGTGGTCTCAAAAGTCGCAGTTACAACACACATAGGGCGCACCGCACCATAGGGAGCACCGCACATTTTGAGGAAAAAAAAAGACGTTTAAGTGCGCCTTATAGTCGTGAAAATACGGTATTTGCTCTGGTTCTCATAATGGAAAGAACAAGAAAGAAGTTGGTTTTGTAACCAAGTTCCCCACACTTCATGTGAAGCTGGGCTGGCGAATTCCTAGAAAGTCCAATCCACGTTACCACACCCCAGAAAGAACATAACCAAATGGCATTTTTAGGTCGATAAGAACAGAAAAGTTCATATTTCCTTCTGCCTTTCCAGATGATCCTCAAAACTATCCATTACATAAAGATTTTCTGTTAGTATAGAAATCCACACCTGAAAAAAAATATCTGACCTGAAAACAAACTGAGGAAAGTTACTCCACTTTTCCAACACCAACCCCACGGCACGATGTTAACCATTGCCCGATCGCCCGGGGCAAGTATTTTTTATTGTCGGGAGAGTACAAATTTTATTGCATTTGCCCGCCGGGCAAGTGCAATGATCGCAAAAACAATACATTTATCACTCAAAATTACTTTAAAATCACAACATTCGCTGAAAATGATCCACAAGCGCTGCTGGCGCATCTTTGTTTTGTACACATTCTCGCGTGATTTGAAAAAGCTGCGTGATTTTACGCTAGATGCGTGATTCAGCTATCGGGGAGAGAATTCTGCAGAGCAGCAGCTGGATGATGAATTTAATCTATACTATAAAACACTCTAGATTAAAAATGATCAGTCAGGGATTAGGAAAATAATAATTGTATCCGCACAGTGTAAATATTTCTATCATATGGCAGTCTTCTGTACAGTGGTCCTACATTAAAAATTTTTCATTAAATTATTTTCTCTTAGACATTGGAGTGGTGCATTTAAATGTTATAGAGCTAAACAAGTTAAATTGGTGAGTAGTAGTAGTGTAAGTTTTTAACCTGTCATGTTTTTTTTTTTTTTTTTTTATCATTACAGTTTAAAGCAAAGTTTAGTTTGAAAAGAATGTGCAGGAAGGATTGAAAAGCATGTTAACACGGTAATGTAGGCTTGAGTTCATTATCTGACGCATGCATATACATACCAGGAACCTGTAAACCTACTGAATTACAAAAAAAACATTTAAAAAACAAACATGTTTCATTGATATATGTACAAAAATGAATATTAGGAACTATATTTATCAAACATTATACTGGGCAAGTAAAAATTGTTTCTGGGTAAATGAAATGTGAAAGTCGAACCCAAAATTTCACAACTTTTCACAGCTTCAGGAACAACTTTCAATCGAGAACAACCTGCGACAGAATATGGACGCAAAAATGAATTCATGTTTTGTTCTTGCAACTGCTTGCTTCACTTGGAGGACTCACGGCCCGAGAGGCGTAAAACAAAAACAATTAGAGAAATGGAGCAGATGAGACATGCTCTGTTTTTAATTGGGTTTATTCTATGAATTACTTTGTTCGATATCTTCTGAGGATCATCACTGGTCAGTTTTTATTTATTTAATGTGAAGACTGATATATTTTAAACTAATTTCCCAACAGTCTCGTAATTCTTAGGGGACTAGGATGGAACTAATTCAAATGAGAAGCAAACATCAAAACTGTCTCTGGTTTGTTGTCATTTACCATCAAAAAAATATCAAGCAGAGGCAGAACACCTTTAGAAAAATCACTTTCTTCGGCTGAGACCACCGAGGCCGATTGTTGTTCTCTCATGCTCAGCCACAAAGTAATGCTAAAACTAGCTTTTCTTTTTTACACAACACATTAATTAGTTTTAGAACAGTTTAACCAAAAGTATTAAAAGCCACAGTAGAGGATCCAAAGATCCACCTGTATGTCTGGGGCCAAAGTTTACAGAGCCTAAAGGAAGACAAGAAATCTATGAAACCGCTCCCAAATGAGTCATAAGTAGACAGCCGAAACGTCCTTGGTCTGATTAGCTGCTTAGAACATTTGATTGTTATAGATGTTTTCCTTATTAAGGTACTAAAAATCTCGTTGACCTTCTGCTGAACCATGCGCTGACTGCATTCATTGTCCCTGAGGGCGATTTAGCCCTGAATGCAGGCGCAGATACATTCAGGCCAAAGTCTTGCAGCAGTGACTGCAAAACCCCCCCAAAAAAACTGGCCTACATGACGGACATTTGAAAAACTTTCTCACATACCCACACAATGACAACAATCCTTTTTCTCACACGCACAGATAATTCCCTACCTTGGCAGGCTGGGGCGTGGAGAAGTTAAGCCAGGCAGGGACAAAGTCATGCTGCGCCATTTAGGTCCAGTGTTTCCGGTCAGTGGATGGAGGCATCAAACCTCATGGCCAGGATCTAATAAAATAATATCTGGGATTAAATTCAGACAAAAAGAATTCTGTTACATTCTACTACCTTCAACTATATGACATTCGGTTAGGTTATTTAGTGTTAGATTAATAAGAGATCCGTTAAAGGGTCAGAAAAAGGAAGCCATTAACATTTTTTGTATTTTGTAGAAAAAACAGCTCAATATGCTGCAGCTGGGAATTTGAAATTAGTTTTATAATAATGTTATTTAATAAATAATTCATTCTAACCACTAATAAATGACGGACACTAATTTAATCAATAAATATTGCTAAATGACAATAGTTATTCACTTTCTACACAGTAGTCATTCGTCTTTGAATGACTCTACTGGATAGAAACTGAGTAAAACTTGTAAATTACCCCAGAGTCTGTTGCTCTGAAGTCCTCTGCCTCCTCTCTCTGTCTCGCTGGCCTCGGTTCCTTAAGGCCGGTTGGCGCTGATCACAGACGGCGTGCACTGACAGATGGGAAGCGGTGCAAACAAAACCCCCACTCCACCTCGACCAGGACAGTGCAGTCCCTTTCTCCAGACGTAGATCCCTTCGTCCAGGATGAAACAGTCAAAAGTGGCTGTTGGAATGATCCGGAAACGCTGATCCAGAAAACTAATCGAGTGGTGTACCGGAAAGGAAGTCTATCGGGAACGGGTTTTCTATTTTGAATGTGAAATGAATCACTTCCTTCTGCACTCTTTGATTGAAACCTGTTGTGTTATGTCCCCGGAACTTTTGTTTTTAGTTGCAAAATTATATCTTTAATGTTTTGGAAGCGCCTGCCCCTATTGTCATGAACAAAAAACACTCAAACTTGATTGGGTGTAAAAGTGATTGGCAAAATGATTCGATGAGAAAAGTGATTTGTCCCCCGAGGCGGTGAAAAGCTATTCAGTCTTCTTTTTAGCGTAAGGAAAGAGTGGAAACCGTGTCCCTTCAATCATGGACAACAGTTGCGAAGCAGTCCTCACTTTTGACACCCAACAGAGGAAGAGAGACAGGCAATGCCCTGCCACACTGTGTGCCAGTACGCTACAGAGTCGATTAGCCCTTCACCGAATCATTTTCAAATCTACTTAGGCATGCAATAAAGAAAAATGTATTCAGAGACAGTCTTTTATTGGCAATGGAGGTCACTTAAAGCCACCGTTCACCTCATCAAAATGGTGAAAAGACCGTCAGAGTTTAAAGAAAAGATTTAGCAACGCAAAGTCACATGACAAGGAAATAGGTAAAGCTCAAAGTTACATCGCTGAAATTTTCAGTTCAGGCTAGTGAATTAGAGATGCTGCTGAGTGATACGTCATAATGCCAGTTTGATCTTTGTAATTCATATAATCACATTTGAAAGATGCCCATTTAACTAGCTGCAGTTTTCTGACTGGTGGACATGGAAGATTTCTACCTGATTTCATAGACGTACAATGTCAAAAGGCCTTGACGGGTGTCATTTATCGACAACTAAACTAGTCCAAAAACAGAGTCTGTGGTCAGCGGCTTGGTCAGCTTCTTTATCAATTAAGCAAAAGCAGATGCTAGAAAACAGCATGTATCCAACGTTTGCAAAGTGGGTTGCTCCTTCTTTAATTATGATCTCCAAGACTCGCTGCTTCAGTGAAAGTTTCACCGGTCTTGCCAACTGCTCGCAGGAACGGACTGGATCTGAAATACAAAACATAACAACCTTAAAACCATTAATACTAGAGCAGAATCAATATGGTTGATATGGCTTTCAGTTCCATTTGAGACTAGCCTAGCATATTCTGATTCTGAACAGACAATAAAGGAAACAGATAACACCCCACGATGCATTAAAACAAATTTCCTCAAGTTTAATCTAGTTTATAGTAAAAGCAAAAAAACATCCAGATACATTCTGTTGGCTGATCTATTTATATGCCAAAATAGCTGGAGTCCTTAAAATGTCCTGAATTTAAATTATTCAACCTGAGGATGTAGACTCTCTGCATTGATTTAGTAGAATATAATAAATTGTAAATGTCATGTATTGGTTTGAATGGTTTATTCTGCAGGTTTACTTTAATCAAAGTTGATGCAAACTTTGAAATTTTAGATGCCGCCTTTAAACAGTTGAACAAATACTTGTATATCTGTATAACTCATCAGCAAATATCAGATCATTTGCTGAAGCACATTCAGTTCTGAAAGGGTTGAATTTCAGGATCATTCTGGGGATTTAATGGAACACGTTGTGCAGAGTTTATTTAGCAAAAAGTATAGAACTTAAACATGTCTTAAAAATAAAATTGGCTGCACCATTGAATTCTAGGGATGGGAATCGAAAACCGGTTCCTGTTCAGAACCGGTTCCGTGTATTCCAATTCCATGGCACCATTTGGCAGCTAGCTTAACGGTTGTCTTAATGGTTCAAAGCAGCACCAGAGTCTAGCATTGGGAAGCACGAATAACGTCACGTTTTTTTACGAGAGTTACGCACGCGGTATTCAGTAAGCAAGTACGACGTGACCAGGCGCAAGTCTAGAAAAGCAAAACAAAAGCGCTCAAAAGTTTGGCAATCATTGCAGAGTGGCAATTACATCCGCAGGAGGAAATATATACGACCTGCAGAAACACCTGCGCACACAACATGGCATACATTTTAACGAACGCCGTGTTTTTCATGCTTCCGCACAGAAGCTAAAGTTACGACCAGCATGGAAGGCAACTCTGGTGGTAAGTGGCTAGTTTTATATCACTGGCTTTGCTTAATGTCGTTCCTAGTAATTCATATTTCTAGAAATAAACCAATTCTTTCCTCTGGGGTTACTAAAGATGCTACAAAGTTACTCCGTGGTTCAGGGAGTGAGAGAAAGGTGACGCTCGTTTATTTAAATTAGACGGAGATGAGTTTATTTCCAAAAATTGTACAGTAATGCTTTTTCATTAAAGAGATGCCTTCTCCATTAGATTTAGAGGACTGTGATGAGACTGGTAGCCTGGCTGGCTCAGAGGCTGGCAGCTCCCGTTAACTGCTTTCTGTTTTCACTGAGGCAGGCAGAAATGGAATGTCCCAGGCAAAGGTAGATGAATGTCACCGTCCACTTACCAAGTTCATTGTTTCACAGAATTGATAAGTGAATTGGAATCGTGAAAATCTTATCAATTCCCAACCCTATTGAATTCATTGTTGAATTTCTCCAATTCAATTCTCTTTGCCAACATAAACACAATTTTCTGCCTGAACAAAATTGAGAATAATGCTGAATTTCAGGAATCTAAGAAGTGCAGATTTAGACAAATTGGAAAAGTTTTCTGAAGCTGCTTGAAATCATGAGATGACAGCTTTTAAGTTTGAGAACAAGACCAGAAAGTTAAGCTTTCAAATCTATGAGCATGGCATAGTAAGAGCATGACAGCATTATAGCCAAAAGTTTAAAGAAAGGAGATGAACATTTTTACAAGTCAACTAGGACTGAAACAATTGGTCTGCCGGCTTCCGTAGCGTCGTGAACTTGCATGCGCGCGCTTTCCGGAAATCGTATACACTACTGTTTATGCTCTAAAAACAATCTAAATAACTTTGTTTCGCGTAAATTCTGGATGCTACCCACTCAGGACACTTGGAATACATTGGACGAGCAGTATGGAGGAATATTGACACGTTTTTTGTGGACTTTTATGGACCTGTCTCGGGCACCATAGACCTCCATTATTTGAATGTCAGCAGACAGCAAGAAGCCTCCCAGATCTCCAGATGCATTTGAGATATCAAAAAAGTACTCCAGAGTGTTGTTCAGCATGGGGGTGAGTAGAAAATGAAGGCTAATCATGTTTTGGGTGTACTATTCCTTTAAGACTTTGCATTCAAGATGAAAATCTTTCTCGTCTGTCAATGTGCTGGAGCCAGAACCTCATAAGTGGAAAAGTTTTAGTCTCACCTGGTTTAATTTCGCAAAAAGTATTTTTCAAGGAACCCATGGCTAGGGTTGGGAATTGAAAAGATTTTCACGATTCCGATTCCCTTTTCGATTCTATGAAACGATTCGATTCTTTATCGATTCTTTTTTCGATTCCAATTTGGGGAAAAAAGGAGAACAAACAGTTTGATTATCAGCATCAACTTTGTTTACTTAACTATTGCACAATCTTACAAACTCAACAAGATCAAGATGTCCACAGGAAATGTGAAACTGGAGTAACATCTGTGTTTAAATGAAAAATGAATACAAGAACAAACTTAATAACCAACCATGTCTAATAACCATGGGATAATAACCTATTTTAAATAACAAAAAATACTAATTATAAAACAGTAGTAGGGAAAATTAACAGTTCTTTTGCAGAAAGATTAGCATATCTGCTTTTTCTGGAAGGATACGGGATCTTTCAGCGCTTAAGGTGTCTCCAGCCGTGGAGAACACCCTCTCAGATGGGGTGGAGGAAGCCTGCACACAGAGGTAGTTTTCAGCCAGTCCAGATAGCAAGGGCAGCGTATCTTGCTTGTTCCACCACCACAGTGTGGCGCTATCCCTGCAGGGGATGGAGGGCAAGCTTTTATAGAGCTGGATTTCCTGATCTACCCTCTGGGCTAAGGAAAGACGGAGATTTGATTCACAAAGTCACCGCAGCTCGTTGTCTTCCTCCTCGAATAGTTCTTCCAACTTGCGTAACTTACGTAAAAAACGTGACGTAAGTCGTGCTCCCCAGAGCCGACGCTCTAGGCTCTGGTGCTGCGGGAATCGAAAAAAGAATCGTTCAGCGAGCTGCCAAACGATGCCATGGAATCGGAAAATACGGAACCGGTTCTGAACAGGAACCGGTTTTCGATTCCCATCCCTACCCATGGCTAGCTGATTATTGATCGATTAATCGAAAACATAATCAAAAGATTTGAACGATTTGCAAAATAATCGTTAGTTGCAGCCCAAACTTCAACTACAATGCAATTAGGTGGTCTAAACATGGAGACTAGGATTATGTTACTGGCTTGACAAATCTGTTAACGGGTTTTACGATCAGAAAATACGATAGTAAAAGGTGCTTTGTAGGATCTTTTTTTTTTTTTACTTACACACAGAATTTGAACCAGTTGAAAATAAAGTTCTTATTTTTCCTCTTAAACACAAAATGTATGTTTTTATTTATTTTCTTTTTTAGTTTTAGCTTGATTACTACTAGTGGTAATTTCTGGCATTTTGAGAGCATGTTTACTTCAGTAAAAAATTAAATCATGATAGCTGTAATTTATAATGATAAATGTTTCTTAATTCCAAATTTTAACCAAAAATAAAAATTCTTAAAAAAAAAAAAAAAAAAGATGAAACACACAAACACTAGACAGCAAATGGAGGGAGCAGCACTACATGCAGATTTTGTCATCACTTGCATGACATCTTTACAAGAAAAAGCAAAAAAAAAAAACATTGCTTATATCTCCTGGCTGATGTATCCGTCTATAATGTTTTTCAAGTTAATTGATTACCAAATTAGGTGACAATCATTTTAATGATGGATTAAACCTGAATATACATATTGTTTCAGCCCTAATAGACACAGTTGTTCCAGAAGGCCAATGATTCCCCAAAAAGTAAGATAAGGGCTCACAATTTAAGTCTGAAATCACCTTTAACTTTGTCAAAACGGTATAACTGAGGATTAAAATATGTGGGTAGGTTGGGGTAAGACAGATTAAAGGAGCTCTCCCATTTTTTTGATGCTTGTTGATGGTAAAAACAATTGTGTGAATGAAGTGGAACATGCCAACAGGACACTTAACGAGATGTCAGCAAATATGTGTGTCCAATGAACAGTAAAAAATCTAAAATATCTGCACCAAATAATCCTTAAAAAATTTAATAAAAATGGTTCAAATAAACCACCATATACCCAAAGTTATAAAACCAGTCATGCCAGAGATAAGTGTGTAAAATGACATCAGTTATAATCATGAAGTTAAATAAACAGCTCAAATTAAAAGGTAACTATAAACATGGAAGCTTGGATCCTAAAATAGAAATATGAAGGTTCTGAACTAAATATTTATTCAATTTTAATTCAAGGTAAAGTTGCTACCTATACCTACTTGGTTACACATTATTTACTGAAGAAGCCAGTGCAGAACCTGCTCGAAAAAACTGATTATTTAAAGAGTTTCTTCCATAATATCAGTAGTTTCAATGAAATGCAAACTCCAATTAATCTGGAGATAAGTTTTTAAATGATCTTGATGCCTTGTCCACTTTGGGCTTCATCCACATGGGCAGACAGGACTGGTTAACGTTTCCTCACTAAGCTATTACGTAAGAGCTCATCATCAATGAGTTGGCCGCGGACAGACAATTTACAACACAAATATGTACTTTGGTACCATACAACATAGATCAGAACCTACTCCATGCTAATCCACATAAGTTAGAAAAACACATCGGCTAACACCAGCTAATCGTAAACAAACCCAATGAGCAAAGAGTGCTGCAGGAATCCAATTCAACAGTTCCGCGCACGTTTCATTGAGCTAACTGGCTAAATTAAATGATTTAAAGTCATTCGGCATATTTCAGGGGACGAACTATTCCACTGTGCAACTCAATGAATTTCTAATAAATACCTAAATGTAGCGCCGTGATATTTGTTCCTCCTCCGCAGCTAGCAAACTGTCTACAAAACTAAGGTTCGCGTTAGCATAGCAACTGCTAGCAAAGAGCTGACATTAACTAGCCTGTTTAGTCGCCCGTGAAAGCAGTGGAGTATTTGACAAAAGTGCGCGTGGCTGGCTGGCTTAGTCGAGTTAAAATATATATACTATTGCCAGGTTGCATAAAACGGTCAACTTAAGCCACTGTCACGGGCATACAAAAGAGGTAAACAGACCTGGCTTGGCTGGAACAACACAGTTTCAAAATGGCTACCTTAGTAGCAGCACCACACATTTATCAGCCTGCTAAGTGCTAGCGAGCTACCTTGCAATGTTTAAAGACGATAGCGCCTACCTTCTCAGTAGCAAGGTGGTCTCAAGTAGAGAGGGATTCGCATACGCAGGGAGTCCGTTAACACAAAGAACGCGACTTCTTTCTATATCTGCAAACTTCTTCGAAAATCGGGCTGTCTACGTTTGTTTGGGTTTTAGGTGCGCTTACGACTGGCTCTGGCACTGAGGGATTCGAACAGCCTCAAACGTGCTGCGTTCAAGAACACTTGTTATTATGCAACTCAGGGAAGCTTTAAACTGTGTATCAGCGGAACCTTCCGATTAGCGTAGATTTAAACAACACATTAGTAGTCACACAGTTAAATAAAATTGCGAGTAAACATGTGAAATATATTTGTCTCGATTTAAGTATTTAAATAGCACGGTGCCAGCAATACCCACATTGGAACTGTGCAGCTTTGAATGCAACTCTACGTGTCCGCCTACAGACTGACCAGTCGATGTCAGATCGGGCAGGCTTTTAATCGAACACCGACTAAATGGCTGAGAGAAAATGACCTCTGGTTTAGCTAGTTTACGTTAACTTTTAAACCAAATTCTTACTGTCGCTAAGTGAGCGAGGATTAACTTGTTGGAGGCACCGAGTTATATTTCGGTAATTATAACGGCCATGCTTCTATTTAAGTGATGCACTAAAAAAGCTTTCTGTTGCGTCAGACGTGAGATTGAATGCTAGGTGAAAATAAAACAAGGGCTTTATTTAGGATTGATCAAAGTAAAAAAAAAAACTTGTTACTGTTGCTAACTGACCTTTGATTTCAGGTTAAAAATGCTGAGGGTTCCATCCGGAAGGCAGATAATATTTGGGGTAAGATAATGAAGCTTGTTTACGGTTTCATTGCTTTGTCGAATATAGGTATTTTTATTTAAAAACTGAACCAAGATAATCTAGAATAATTCCTTAAGCAGATAATCAGATGATTTGAATTATTATTTTTAGGAGAAGTGGTCATTAGATCTTGCAGTCTGACATGTGTTTCTACCTTTCCATATCAACCTTACGGAACAGGATTAGGGCCACTGAAAAAATAAAAGTTAACTGATTTTTTTATTTTTATTTCAGTATAATGTGAGAAAAAAAACCCCTCAGAATTCTGACTTTAATCTCAGAATTCTGGATCTTAGATGGGCACCATGAAGGAAGAGATGTGGGAGCACTCAGCTTCACTGACAAATATGTGAGTTGTTTGGGAGGAACAGTAACACACTGGTGGAAAATGAGGGAATTAGGTGGCTTTTTACATGTCCCAGGGGTCAACAGTGATGCTATTTCTTTAATGGAAGAGCAGAAGGTGATTAAAACAAGATTACTAGTTTAGTCTCTAAAACAGACATGGCTACGGCTTGATGCTAACATGTTTGTTAGCTGTCAGAATTCAGCCAGAATTCTGAGAAAAAAATTCAGAATTCTGAGATTAAAATCAGAATTCTGAGGAAAAAAGACAGAATTCTGAGATTAAAGTCAGAACTCTGAGATTAAAGCCAGAATTCTGCGATTAAAGTCAGAATTCTAGGAAAAAAGACAGAATTCTGAGATTAAAGTCAGAATTCTGAGATTAAAGTCAGAACTCTGAGATTAAAGCCAGAATTCTGAGATTAAAGTCAGAATTCTGAGGAAAAAAGACAGAATTCTGAGAAAAAAAGTCAGTACTCTGAGATTAAAGTCAGAACTCTGAGATTAAAGCCAGAATTCTGCGATTAAAGTCAGAATTCTGAGGAAAAAAGACAGAATTCTGAGATTAAAGTCAGAATTCTGAGATTAAAGTCAGAATTCTGAGATTAAAGTCAGAACTCTGAGATTAAAGCCAGAATTCTGAGATTAAAGTCAGAACTCTGAGATTAAAGCCAGAATTCTGGGATTAAAGTCAGAATTCTGGGATTAAAGTCAGAATTATTAGATGAAATTCAGAATTCTGAGATTAAAGTCAGAATTCTGGGATTAAAGTCAGAATTCTGAGGAAAAAAGTCAGAATTCTTACATTAAATTCAGAATTCTGAGAAAAAAAGTCAGAATTCTGAGGAAAAAAGTCAGAAGTCTGAGGTTAAATTCAGAATTCTGAGATTAAATTCAGAATTCTGAGATTTAAGTCAGGATTCTGACTTTTCTCATATTATACTGAAATAAAATGTCAAAATCAGTTACCTTTTTTATTTTTTTTATTAGTTGCCCTTATCCTCTTCCGTACAACCTTTACATGTGCATAGTGAGATTTTTTTTACCCACCCTTATTTGCGGAAAAGCTCAAACACAGGCAAATTTGATGAAATGTCTCTTAGGCTAAATCTTGCCACTGACTCTTTTTTTTTTTAGATATAGATAATATTCAATATTTTAAAAATGCACTTTTATCCAAACCACTCCATTGTAGCTCAGGCTATTTATTGTTTTCCTGTTGGAAGGTGAACCTCATCTAAAGTGTTTTACAGCTTCTAACAGATTGTCTCCCTGTACTGCCCTATTTTAATATCTATCAAGCTAGACTGTAATCCCTGCTTTAGTGAAGTGTCCCCCATCCTAGTGGTGCCACTACCGTGCTTTATTGTTTTGCCATTTTGGAATTTATTTAGGGGTATATGAGTGGAGGGGGATACAAACGCAGGCCACAACTTTCTGATTTATAAAAAATAAATAAATAAAAAAAAATGGTGAAGTATCTTTTGTGACATAATATGGAAAATGTTTCAATTCTGGGTAATAAGATTATTTGTAAGAAAGGAGTGATTATGTTGTTTTTTTGGTTTTGCCTCCAAGCTTCCTGTGTGGAGATGCGTCCAGCAGAAAACCAGGCCACCTAACTACGCCACAGGAGCCCAGCTGTTTACTTCTCAAACATCTTCGGGGGTTACACCACTTAAGCCATCGTTCAGCAGTAGATGTCGGAGCATCGGGCCTACGACCTGGGTGCCGTCGCGTCTGCACTCAGATTCCTCGGAGAAAGGAGACGGCAGCAGCGGCTTCAGCATAAGGGCCCTCACACAGGCACCCAAACCGGCTCTGTACCTTGGATTCTCTGGCCTCATCCCGTTTCTCTCCGCCCCGCTGGTCATGGCCGCCACCCAGTCCTTCTACCCTGAAGTAGCCTATGCCCAGATGGTGTACGGAGCCTCTATAGTTTCCTTCCTCGGAGGCGCCCGCTGGGGTTTCGCCATCCCTGCTGGGAGCCCCGCCAAGCCAGATTGGATGAACTTGGGAAACAGCGTGGTGCCATCACTCCTGGCTTGGCTGGCGCTGCTCTGCAGGGAGAATATTACAGAAGGAACCCTGGTAGTTCTAATGGGGCTGGGTCTGTCGCTGCATTACGACCTGACCCTACTGCCAGGCTACCCCCACTGGTTCAGAGCCATGAGAACTGTCCTCACCCTGGTCGCCACCTTCTCACTTGTTGCCACATTGGTACTCAAAAAAGTCTGTGCAGAAAGGAAACTCAAAGAGGTGAAGAAATGATTTATAGTTTTGGAATAAAAACATTAGAATTTCCATTAAATCTCAAAATCACACTTTTCTTTGGTCAATATTATTTAAAAACCGAAACCCCGACATTTAATTGTATTTAAACAAAGAAAAACAGAAATTCTTACCATGTGTCTACTAAACATTTCCACTCAGAATTATTCTTACAACAAATGTAATGTAAAGGACGTTTTAAGTGCAGATAAAGACATTCTCTGTATCTATAACAGTTTAATACATTTATAGTTTCAGAAAGATGCAGCCGTGTCACAAACTTTTACGTACATTTTATTTTAAAATTGCCGTAACAAGTTCTTGTAAAAGTATGCATTGAACCTGCTGTATTTTTGGAATCAATCAAAACAGAGTGGTGCTGCATTATGAAGTGGAAGAAAAACTATACATTGGTTAAAAATGTTTTTTTATTTTTAAATAAATCTGAAAAGTGCGGTGTGCATTGGTCTTTAGCCTTCTTTACACCTAGAGAGCAACCGACTGCTGCAGAAGTCTTTAACCTTTAAATACCTTTTTATAGTCTCAAGTTTTTATTATTTTTTTAAATAAAGATTTAGATGTTTATTAGAGAAAATTCATGTAAAGCATATTGAAGGAGGCTGACAAACGAAGTTGGTGCAAAGGTTCACTTCCAGCACATAAACACAGCCAGATCTACAACAGAACAGCTTAGAGCAAATCAATGGCCTAGTCAAAGACCAGACCTAAATCAAATTAATCAGATGCTTTCCATTGAATTCCACTTGAGATATTGAGAAAAACAAATCATCTTGTGAGGCTAAAGAAATAAATGAAGCTGTAGAAATGTTTAAAAAAACATTTTCTTTCACTAAAATCTAAATAAATATCATTGAAGTTTGTAGTTGTAACAAGACTGATTGTGGAAAAGTTTAATAGGTGGATCAGAGATGAAATGTAATGTGCGGAAGAGGATTAGGGCCACTGGGGAAAAAAAAAAAAAGTTAACTCACTTTTAAATTTTATTTCAGTTTAATATGGGAAAAAAGTCAGAATTCTGACTTTAATCTCCGAATTCTGACTTTAATCTCTGAATTCTGACCTTAATCTCTGAATTCTGACTGAATTCTGAGAAATAATCTGAGAAAAAAGTCAGTATTCTGAGATTAAAGTCAGAATTCTGAGAAAAAAGTCAGAATTCTGACTTTAATCTCTGAATTCTGACTTTAATCTCTAAATTCTGACCTTAATCTCTGAATTCTGGCTCAATTCTGACAATAAAAGTCAGAATTCTGAGAAAAAAAGTCAGAATTCTGACTTTAATCTCTAAATTCTGACCTTAATCTCTGAATTCTGACTCAATTCTGACAATAAATTCTCAATTTCTCAGAATTCTGACTGAATTCTGAGAAATAATCTGAGAAAAAAGTCAGAATTCTGACTTTAATCTCAGATTATTTCTCAGAATTCTGACTGAATTCTGAGAAATAATCTGAGAAAAAAGTCAGAATTCTGACTTTAATCTCTGAATTCTGACTCAATTCTGACAATAAAAAAGTCAGAATTCTGACTTTAATCTCAGAATTCTGACTTTTTTCTCAGAATGCTGACTGAATTCTGAGAAATAATCTGAGAAAAAAGTCAGTATTCTGAGATTAAAGTCAGAACTCTGAGAAAAGGGTCAGAATTCTGAGAAAAAAGTCAGAATTCTGAGATAAAGGTCAGAATCCTGAGAAAAAAGTCAGAATTCTGACTTTCTTTCTAATACTAAACTGAAATAAAATTTTAAAATCAGTAAACTTTTTTTTTTCCCCCAGTGGCCCTAATCCTCTTCCGTAGTAATGACCCCACTGAAGACTGAAGTAAACTTAAATAAGGATAAAGAGGTACCGGGATTTACAGCAGGATATGTACAAATAAAAAGTCCAGTGAAAATAGAACAACTTGCTCAAGTTTCCAGTAAGAAATGGATCTGACACCAAGAACAACCGACGGATGGATCCACCATCAATCAGGCTCAAGAAGCACTGCATTCATCCAAACCAAACACACCCAGACTTCCTGAAGTCTGACTCAAAGAGACCAATACAACTTTTGTTTTCAGGGTGAAAAGGTTTCCCGATCAGCACGCTGATGGTGGAATAAGTTAGATTCTCCTCTCCATCCTGAGTAACGATGATTTAACATCACTGAAGATAAAGAGAAGCAATTTGGGCACTTTTTTCCAGAACCAAGCTGTGCAGTAAAAATGGAGACATGTTAAATAACATTAGCTGTAAGGTGGCAGTCTGCCTCAGACCCCTGCAGTCTTTTTTCCGTTTAAAGGTGCAGCTTTAACCACAGTTGTTTGGATAGCTCCGATGCTCACAGTTTAAAGTCCGGGCTGTCAGAGCACAGCCAGCCCGCCGTCGCAGCGGCTGGTGATCATGTTGCCGACCTCAGTCCAAGTGTCCAGGTGAGGGTCGTAGATCTCCACGGAGTCCATCGTCACTGGTGCTGAGAAGTCGTTGCTGGCGGCGCGTCCGCCCACGGCGTACAGCAGCCCGTTGACCGCCGACACCGACACGCCTGTGCGCGGCGTAGACATCGAGGCGACCTCCACCCACTTCTCCTGTGGAGACACATCGCAGGCTGTGAGGAAAGTTCTCAAACACTTGCATGTTTTGGCGTTACATCAGCACAACCTCTTCAGGACAGTATTTTTCCACCGTGTCCAGAGCGCCCAGGGCCTCGTTCCAGCCTCCCACAGCGTATATACAGTTGTTCAGGCAGGCAACGCCTACATAGGCCCGGCGTTGGCTCATCACCGGCAGGGCGCTCCAACGACGGGATATGGGATCATAAGCCTCCGCAGAGCGCAGCTCCCCTCCCTCATCACTGATCCCACCGATCACATAAATCAATCCTGAGCAGAGATGAAATTTTAGGTGTAATAAAAGGCAAAAGTAGTATTTGTTTAAAGCAAGAAAGAAGAAGAGATAATCAGACCCTGTAGCTCACAGCAGCCAAAGTAATAGCGTGGAACTGCCATGCTGCCGATGACCTCCCACTTATTGTCCTCTGGGTCATAGCGCTCCATGGTTTTGCCGATCTCAGATCCAACCCAACCGCCTAGAACCAAAGAAGCATTTTTAGCTGTGCAAAAATATTTCTTCCAGTTTAACATCGATGTTTTGTCACATTACAGCAAACATTAACTTTTTATTTTAGGACTTAAGGGGCCAGACCATCAGAAAGTACTGAATAACAGTACTTTTATGTCTAAATGTTTTACTTTAAAGTTATAGAGGAGGATGTTCTATTTCCGGGTGGATCATCAATATAAGTGGTCCTCCTAATTGTCAATCATTCTGGTGATATATTTACGTAAGGCCGTCCTACGTATTCTGCATGATTGATGCAAACAACAACTTTTAAACAGAGCGTGCACAAGGAGAAAAGGGCTCATGCACGCTCTCGCACACGTTTAATAGTTGTTCTCTCTTGGGAGCGGGTACAGGGTTGTGTATGTGCATTTTTTTTTTTTAAGTGGAGAGGGCGGGTCTTTTCAAACATTCGTGAAAATCCTCCACCTTGAATTTCCTACCCCAAAACAAAGCCCAGCACAACCAGCCGGCTTCTACAGAAGCGTATTGCATGAACCGAGAAAAAAAATCTAATGAAAATGTTCTAGTTTTCTGAATTAACGACATAATTTAAAGCAAATAAATAAAAGTGTTCTGTTGTTCTGAATTACAGAGATAATGCTGCTGCTTTAATAATGCACGTTTTGCTACTGTTCTAAGCAAGAGATGCCTTTCCTTCCTTCAGAGAAGCTTCATGTCACGTTTGTTAAGTTTAAATTATTTTTACTTTCTTTTTGGGATTGAGATACAGGGAAATAATCTCTTAGTTATGTATTACTGCTATGAGATAGTCGACTTTGTGAAGACACCTATGCACTGGGCGCTACTCATGGCACGTTATTCTTCCTTTTCTCTTCATAGTTTCTCATTACTTAAAAAAAAACGTTTTTATTTATTTTTTATATAAAAAAAGGTCTTGTTAATTCAGAAAACAGTAAAAAAAAATGTTATTTTTGCAGGTGAATGCAATATGTTTCTTAGGGCTTCTGTAGTCAGACATTTATCACAAAGCAAACGTGTGGAAGAAGCTGTTCTAGTTTAATATCCTGAGTATCACCTCACAGACGTGACACATTTTTCAGGCTTTATAATTGCAAAAAAACTTTTTTTGTTACATTGTTTATCCACCAATAACTTACTAAGCCATCTACTAATAAGATGACTTCTGATTCTCTTTAGGCGGTTTTAAAATAAGAGGACCCAATGTAAACTTTCAGGTCTTTTAGGTTAAAACAGAAATATCCTTTGGCTTTCTAGCTAGCAGTAATGCTACGTTCACACCGGAAACAGCAGGCGCAGCAGAAGCAGTGAGTTTACATGAAAGTCAATGACGCGTGTCAAGGTGCAGCAAAAGGTCCAGCAGCGCGTTTTGAGCAGCTGAAGCAGCGCGTCGGGCGCGTTTAAGCATCTGACACGCCCCAAACGAGCTGCTGCTCGAGATGGAAAAATATTACTTTTGCTGCTCGACGAGCCGCGTCAACCAATCAGAGACGCTGATCTGGGAGCTGGCCGTGAGACATACACGTAGCTGATGACACAGAGCGCTGTGATCACTCCTCTGAAACAGTTTATTGACGCATAAATTAACTTAAAATGCTGAAACCTGCCGACAGAACATGTTCGCTTTTATTATCCTGGTGCCTACAGTTTAGATTATTAAGATGAAAAACACCTGCCAGCTGCCGCGGTGAACCGCAAGGAGGCGACCCGGCCAGAGGCTGCTGTTGAATGGGATCCTACTGTTGGTGCACCGCTGGTATGTGGGGGTCTGAGCGGCTCCGACAGAAATAATATTGGAAGTCAGGATGGTAATCTGAATGAACTGAATGCAATGATTAAGTTTTCAGGTGGATTTTCTCACTTAAAAACATACTTTATTCCCACTGATCAAAGCAAATATAGCTGCAAGGCAAAGAAAGGATAGAGTAGCTCCGCCCAACGCGCGTCAGACACACTTTTGCACCGCGCAGCCAGAGCAGCAAAGCTGCTTCAGCCGCGCGTCACAACTAAACTGGTACAAGCAGCAAAAATGAAGCAGCAGACGAGAATTTTGCTGCGTCCGGTGTGAACGTAGCATTATTGTGACAGGCAGGTAAAAGTGGACAGATACACAAAGGTGCAAACAGAAAAGTAGTTAGAAGAGACTGAACAGTAAGGATCCATGTATAGCATAAGGGGAATAATGCTCTGATTCAATGATATGTGCGACTGAGCAAAAACATTTAACTGCACGTATTTGTGCATTAAAAAAAACTCTAGACTAAAAGAAATTGAAAAAAGTAGATATAACAGCAGGGATGTAAACAGTGTTTAAGGGGGAGTAAAGTTATAAAGTCTAACAGCTGCTGGGAGGAAGGATCTGTAAAAACGCTCTTTTTAATCCGTTAGGAAATTTCCATTTCCTTCTCTTCCTACTACGCAGTCCTCTGTGTGTTTTTGGTCTTGGTTAATAAAGCCAAACTTCTGGATTGACAGCATTATTAGTTCTATTAGTTTTCTGATCTGATTCAATGACGGTTGTGAGGTTTACCGAGTGCATATAGAGCGCCGTGGCAGGGACAGACACCGACTCCACATCGAGGGGAGTTTAGAGATGCTACTGTAGCCCACTGCTTTGTGACAGGGTCATATCTCTCTGTGCAGTCGAAAATCATGGAGTCCTTCTCTCCTGTTGGAAAAATGAACACAGAAAAATACGGATGCAGTTGTTTTTTTTGTTTTTTTTTAAAGTCTGTTTTCATTCAGAAAGCTTTCTCACCTCCCACCACATAGATCATGCCGTCCATGACTGCCACTCCCAGCCCGCTGCGAGCCTGATGCAGGGACGACACGGTGGTCCAGTACTGGTTGAATGTGTCAAAGCGCTCCACGCAGCTTAGCGCCCGGCTGTCGCTCCAGCGGCCGCCCTGCAGCCGAGTGTAGCCTCCTGAGACGAGGAAACAGGCGCAGTTTCACTTCTACGTTTTCTTGTGACACCCATTTAATTTAGGTTTTAAAAAAGTGCTACATTGTAGAGATAAATGATGTAGAAAGGAACCTATAGCGTAGAGGTACTTCCTGGCTTTTCTTCTAGGTCTCATCTTTGCTGGTTGGAGTTTGTTTTCTTTGGGAGACTTGGTGACCTCAGTGTATTCCTTCAGCAGGGTCTGCAGTGCCACCCGCAGGCTGAAGTCGGTAATACCTTCGCCAAAGACAATGGGACAAAACGGTTTTCAGCAAAGGATTACATTTGATACATCTTACTTTTTAGTGACCTGAAATATGACACATCTGTTAAAGAAAAAACACATAAAGGAACAATTTTAGAAACATGATCAACAGGCTAAATATATTTCACATACAAATAGAAATCTGTGAAAATTACAGCTTAAAAAGCAAAAATGCCTCAGCACACAAAATAAGAGAATTTTAAAGAAAAAAAAAATCAGAAAACATTTTGTTGTTTTACTTTTTTTTTTTAAACCTATAACACAAATACATCTAAAATTGAGTTGTATTCCACACAGAATGTACCGTTTTTTTCTGTGATTTTGATGATTATGTCTCCAATTAAATTCAAATAATAAAAAAATAATAATCCCAAAGAGAAATGTAATTACTTACAATGGAATCAAAACCCAAAGGAGTTGGATATCAGCTGGGGAAAAAACGTGGACCTTTGCTTGTGGTGTTACAAAGGCTACGTTCACACCACAGCCTGAAGTGACCCAAATCCGATTTTTTTTGCCCAGATGCAACCTGGATCTGATCTTTTCATGACAGTCTGAATAACATAGATCCGATTTTTTCCAATGCGACCCAGGCCACTTGGTTATGTGGTTCTGAATCCGATCCGAATCCGATCTTTTTAAATGCGACCTGTCTGAACCGCCAGGTTGCATCCATCCGACCTGAATGCCATTAATACCAGACAGTGGTCACTCTTCTGCTTCTTGCTACGCAGAAGTGGAAAGAAAAACAACAACAATGGTGGACGACGATGCAGAGAGTATTTATGTTTAACCATCTTGGAAATATTGAGTTTTTAAGGCTGGGAAAGATCCCTAGATGTTCTCCAACACTACCATCCATGTTTACTTCCGTAAACACACAGCACGCTTGCTTGTGACGTCATTGCATCCTCTACTGCGCATGCGGGACACTTAGCAGGGTTCCTACAGCATAAGGCGAGTTAAATTCAAGACTTTTTAATGCCACTTGAAATAAAAATTTAAGACCAAATTCACAAGAAACACAAGAAAAACCTGCTTGCAACAACTTAACCCAAAGGTTTATTTTAACATAAACCACTGCACTAATGATTCAGATTTTGAAAAACTTCCCATACAGGAAGAAAGCTAAAAACACACAAATGACGGATATATTTGAACAATTATTTAACTGAATTCACAAACTTTGTTTTAGCAGGGAACAAAACAAATCAGTTTTAAAGCCACAACATAACCAGTGCTAAGTCTTTGCTGCAGCTATTTTTCTTTGGATCGTTTTCTTAGTATGTTTGATTTGGTAATAAGTGGAGGCGTTGCAGAGACAAGGGTGGAACAAACCTGAGAAATACCGGCTGTTTCTCAGTAACTCCATTTTGAAGCTTTGTGTTTCGCGCTTCGCATGTGCGACTCCACTGCCTTAATTCCCATCGTTCTGAGCTTGAATCGCTTCTTGCACAAAATCCACTGAGCCTCATGTATGTTCCCTGGTTTTAGCCATGGAGAAAACTCTTGGCTGGTGACAATTCTGGTCACATTTACACTCGCTCATATTTTCCAGACAAAAAGTTAATGGCACATCTCCCAAATGTCCCGGCCGCAACAACGCTTTTATTGGTTCCGCTATCGGGACGGAACCAATAATGGCGAGCCATTATTTTATTTTCAAATTAAAAAAAATGTTTTCAATTTTAATGTTTTATTTAGTTTACAAAAATAAATCGTAATAAAAATAATCCTATTTATGATGTTTTAAAAATGAAGACCTACGAAAGACTGATTTAAGAAATTTTAATACCAATTAAGGCCTTAGTTTTATTTTGAAGAATTCAATGTCTTTTAAGACTTTTTAAGGACCCGCGGGAACCCTGCTTAGGTTGTATGACTGCAGTTCACACAGGAGATCACATACAAGTCGCATATATTTGGAAATGTGAACAGCAAAAAAAAATCAGATTTCACAATAAAATTGGAATTGAGCATCAAGGCCTGCAGTGTGAACGTAGCCAAAGAACTACGATAAAGACCAATGAAACGTTTTCC